AGCACTGGGTGTTGTATGGAAACCAATTTGACAATAAATTTCATATATAAATAAAAAAAAACAAAAAAAAAAAACAAAAAAACAGCAGTTCCTGAAACAATCTGGAGATTATGAAGTCATTGAGCATGTAACTTTCAATGTGACATAATACATTTTCTGCAAAATTAACTAGTCATGGGATTCTATGACAAATTCCCTAAACTAGGGACACCATTTGACATGGTCATTTAATATACTGAAGACAACAAAAACTTCTGCAGAATAATGGATAACCCGGAGTTAAGCTGAAGAGTAAATTCGTTTTCAGAGAATGGAGGCATCACAGGCCAAATATGAGTTTGGTATGTCACACTCTTCTAGAGGTGTTAATCATTTGAAGTCTGATGTTTAGAAGGGAGACTTAAGCATTTTCTTATAGAAGGGCCACACTGACCTGGTGTAGGACAAGGAAAACACAAAATAAGTTTTGCTGGTTTTTAAAAAAATATTCAACTGAGTGTTGACTCTTAAAAAAACACATGTTGTCTGGGATAAAAATGCATAGATTTGGGGGTCTGTGGAGGTTTGATCTTGATCTATTATGCAAAGATGCCATTAAGGCATGTTGGCAAGAAACAGTCTCCATGGTGCACTTTCTCGGGTAAGGAAATAACTTTATTTAGGGGACTTTCATTGAACTTGAGTAGTGGGGGAGTAGCCATTGGAAGAATAAGTCATGGATCCATTTTGTTTATTCAGGGTTTTTGAGTGAGGTTGTCAAAAGATGAAAATGGACATTTCCTTAACTTTAGGAAATATTTTAATGTAGCTGTCTCTGTACTTATAAAGTTGATGTAAATATTAATGATTCATAATTTGAAAAACAGAAGAATTAGTTTGACCTAATGGATATCTATTGACCTCTTTGCCACAAAAAATAGAGAAATGCATACTTTTTTAGCTCATGTGAAACACAGAAATATTTACCATACATTAGAACCACAAGCAGTATGTAGATGGATAGATACAACATATCTATGTTTCTATTTGTGTATATATATGTGTATGAGTTTGTATATGTGTATATATGCACATACATGCTCATATAAGTCATTTTTTCTGTCAGTAATATTGGAAAACTAAATTGAGGAATAAATATAATACTCATTATATGTTTTAACTGTAAATTGTATATTATCTGATCTCTCCATCCTAGTGGTTTAATTGGTAAAAGTTATATAGAATACATTTTTAATTTTTCTATTTTAATCCTTATGTCTTACCTATATCTCTGGAAAATGAAACCAATTGAATATAGTAAGAAAATGTTTGACTTTATTAGTTGTAATTAGCCTTTTATGGTTAGTATAAGAGTGCATATATCCAGAATTGGATTTATCAACTTTTTATACACTCATTACACCTGTTCTATTTTCTTATCCTTTCTCCATTAACTTATTCTGTATCATGTTTTAAACATTATTTTAGAGAGAGAGAGTGAGTACGTGAGTGAGGGAGAGGGGTGGAGGGAGAGGGAGACGGAGAATCTTAAGCAGGCTCCAAGCTCAGTGTGGAGCTGGAGTTGGGGCTCCATCCCACAACTGAGATCATGACCTAAGCCAAAACCTAGAGCCAGATGCTCAACCAACTGAGCCACCCAGGTGCCCCTGTATCCATTTTTTAAAATAACTCTATATTTTGCCCCCCCTTTTTTGGAGTATGTGTAATTACTGGGAAAATTATATAAAATATGTTTTTCTTTTTTCTATTTTAATCCTTATATTTAACTTTATCTCTTGAAAAACACTCAGCTGTATATAGTAAAATGTGTTTGACTTGAATGAGATTAGTCTCTTATGTTCAGTATCATATTAAATATATTTCAGATTGCATTTATCAATTTATACTATGTTCTTCATTATGCCTATAGTCCATTCTTAGTTTGCCAGTTCTAACTTCTTCTGCATTAATTTTAAATAATTCTACATTGTACCTCTCTTATCTTGGAAGTCATACATTCAGTATTTCTTAGTTTTTAACCTAGAAATTATAGTGTACTTTAAAAAACTAGTCAGAATCAGGCTCTATGCTGAAAGCTTTAGAACTTCTGTCATTTTCTCTCTCTCTGCCCCTCCCCAACTTGTGCTCGCTCTCTCTCTCGCTCTCGCTCTCTCTCTCTCTCTCTCTCAAAAATAAATAAACATTAAAAAAAACTAGTCAGAATGTAGTTATTTAATACATCTGTCTCTACCTGGACAATATGATGGCAATCCAACACTAGTAGATTAACTTTCACTCAATTTGTTTTTGTTTATATACTCTATATTATATCTTTGGGACTTATTTATTTTATAGATGAAAGTCTGTACCTTTCAACCACCTTCTCCCATTTCACCCTTGTCTCTGGCAATCACCAATCTATTCTCTGGATTTATGAGTTCAGGTTTTGTTTGTTAGTTAGTATGTTTGTTTTAGATTCCAGATATAAATGAGATTATATGGTGTTTGTCTTTGTCTGACTTGTTTCACTTAGCACAATTCCCTCAAGGTCCATCCATTTTGTCACAAATGGCAAGGTTTCTTTCTTTTTTATGGCCAAATAATATTCACAAATATACTACATCTTCTTTATCCATTCATCCATTGATGGATGCTTAGGTTGTTTACATGTCTTTGCTAGTGTAAATCATGCTGCAGTGAACACAGGAGTGCATATATCTTCTTGAGTTAGTATTTTTGTTTCCTTTGGATAAATACCCAGAGGTGGAACTGTAGGATATGGTAGCTTCAGTTTTAATTTTTTGAGGAACCGCCATACCATTTTCCATAGTGGCTGCACCAGTTTACATTCCCACCAACAGTGCACAAGGGTTTCCTTTTCTGTGCATCCTCATCAACACTTGTTATTTCTTATCTTTTTACTAATAGCCATTCTAATGGGTGGGAGGTGATATCTCATTGTGGTTTTAATTTGCATTTTCCTGATGATTTATAATCCTGAGCACCTTTCGTGTACCTGTTGCCCATCTGTATATCTTCTTTGGAAAAATATCTATTCAGATCCTCTGTCCCTTTTTAAATCAGATTGCTTGTTTGTTTCTTTTTGTTGTTCTTGTTGGTGTTTGTTGTAGTAGTTGTTGTTTTTTGCTGTTGAGTTATATGTGTTCCTTATATTTTTTTGATACTAATCTCTTATCAGATATACAGTTTGCAAATATTTTCTTCCATTCAGTAGGTCACCTTTTCATTTTGTTGATGGTATCCTCTGCTGTGCAGGAGCTTTTTACTTTGAAGTAAAAGTATTTATTTTTGCTTTTGTTCCTTTTGATGTTAAATCCAGAAACAACATGGATGAACCTGTAGAACATTATGCTCAGTAAAATAAGGCAAATACATAAAGAGAAGCACTGCATGATATCCCTTATTTGTGGAACCCTAAAGAGTTAAACTCAATATATTTAAATATATATTTATATTTAAACTTTGCTAAGAGAGTAGATCTTTAGTGTTCTCCCTACACACACACACACACACACACACACACACACACACACACACACACACAAGGTAACTGTGTGTGGTGATTGATTTGTTAATTAATTTTATTTCATTAATCACTTCACAGTGTATACATCTACCAAAACATTATGTTGTCCACTTAAAATATAAACATTTTGGTTTGTGAGACCTCAATAAAACTGGAGAGAAATAATTTATTTAAGATCTGTCTCACTATGTCTGACTTTGTGAATAAGATATGTATTATACTTTGGAAACATTAAAGAGGTTTTCATTATGCCCTATTTCAGCACAAAACCTCAAGACGTAGGCCAAGTTGGGTGGAGGATATCCAGGCACCTCTTTCTTTCACTGAACACACAGTACCAGTTAACAGCCCCTCCTGCCACCTAGCTCACATCCTATATACTTGTTATTCTGAAAGAAGAACAAGATGGCTGGGCCATTGTGTACCCCAAGTCCCACATGCAGACATCTACTCTATGTTCAATTTAAAGTATTTTGGTGGTTTGGGGGTAGGGGGCACCTGGCTGGCTCTATCAGTAGAGCATGCAACTCTTGATCTCAGGGTTGTGAGTTTGAGCCCCACACTGGGTGTAAAGATTGCCTAAAAATAAAAATAAAATCTTAAAAAGTATTTTAGGGGTATTTTATATAGGCACTTTTTTTGGCCTAATGAGCTGAAATTAGAATCTATTTATGATTAAGTTGTGACTCAGTCCTCTACGAGGGAAATAATGAATGGCACTGAATTGTTGACTTCCAAATTGCCCTTGTGACTTTCATTACAACAGCCTGCATTTTGCACCTAGCTCTTCCTCAGTGACCTCCACCCTCATGAACTGCAGCCCTCCCCTAAAACTACCATAGACACCCCCACCATTCCAACACTCCTAGATTGTTTACAACTAACCCCTATCTCCATCTTGTGAACTTTATAACCTCAAAATCTTCAAAAGTTCTATCCCCACGTTTCAACAACCATACACAAATGCTCTTTACTTTCCATCCCCCTTGAATGCACCAGCCTCCATTCCCTCCTTCTTCCTGTCCCTAAATTTACCCTCCTGTTCCAATGATCTCAGACCATTTCCCATGTCCCCTGTGGCCCTAGGCCTCCTCAGCCCTTAACCATTGGATTGCCTCATTTTCCCCATGACTTCCATGCATTGTGCCTACCCTACAATCCCTACCCGCTTCTCCTGGGCCCTTTAGCTCAAGGTTCCCACCATCCTTCCCAGCTTCCAGCAGCACTCTGCTCCCATTTTGCCTCTCTGTACCCACTCCCAACCCTCAAGTTCCATCTCTCCCTCCACCCTGCATCTCTACTTTCATCAACTACTCCTATGAACTGAAGGCCCCAATGGATATACCCCTTCATTTGTCATATTATTTGACTTCTCACAGACAATAACTATAACGTACCTTTTACCTACTCCTGCACTTTAACCACCTTCCGCCATTATTATTCCATCTTTAGCAGCCCCTTCATCCCCATGACCTTCTCCATCATCCATCCACCAAGTCCACAAGTTCTCTAGTACCCTTAACTTCCTTTCACTCTACCCCTTGTACCAATAAATCCCTCTGTTTAGCTTCTCAGTTACTTGAACCCACTTGTTCCTTTTACCCCTCTTTCCTCTCTCTCCCTATGGTTGGTTTGTACCCTTCTCTGCAGCTTCCCAGATGTTCTCAGAAACTGGCCCCTATACATGGAGGTCAGGGAGAGAGGAAGAAAGAGGCAGGCCACTCCACATTGGTAGGTGGCAGTTTAATAAGTAAAGGGAACTTACATAGGAGGCTTGTCTTGGGCAGTGGCACAGTGAGCAGATCCCTATACCTGCCTGTCCAGTCTTAAAGTTGATAGAGAGAGAAGACTTAACTGGGCTCATGCACACCATGTAGGTGTTCTCCACACCATGTTACCATCTCAAGGCTGTGTCCTTGGAGCAGCCTCTGGGAGTGGGAAAGGCAAGTGGAACCCACATTCCAAGGACGGGGGAGCAGGTGAGGAGCCTCTGAGTGCCTGGGGGCCAGCTCATGGGGCAATTAGTGATCACATTTCACGTTTTTGATGATATTTCCCGGCACCCCTGAGCTCTCCCTTTCTTCACTCCCCATGCTGTCTGCACCCTACCTGTATGCCTTTTCCCTGAGTCTTCATTTTACCTTGTATGCACTCTTGGGGCGCGTGGGTGGCTCAGTCAGTTAAGCATCTGACTTCAGCTCCAGTCATGATCTCATGGTTCATGAGTTCGAACCACAGCTTGGAGCCTGGAGCCTGCTTCGGATTCTGTGTGTGTCTCTCTCTCTGCCCCTCCCCTGCTCATGCTCTGTCTCTTTCTCTCTCTCAAAAATGAATAAACATTAAAAAATATTAAAATACCTGTGTGTGCTCTCTCTTTCACACACACACACACACACACACACACACACACACACACAGAGCCACTCCTCCAACATTTCACCTTTCCTGCTATGCACCTTGACATGAAGTAGTAATGCTCACAGCAATTTCTAATGTTGCACATTCTGAATATCTTTGTAGGTTGTTCAGAGATAGAAAGAGTAAAACACGGCCTCCCTTCCTGTACCTCCAGAAGGTCGGAACATATCATGATTCTTTCACATGTGAATACCTTTCCGAGATACGAATATCTGTGTTGATGGTGTGACTGTTACTTTATGAATATGAGTGAGCCGTGTGAGCTTGTGTGTGTCATAGTGTGTATGACACACTGTGCATATGTGTATATACAGTGTGTGTGTTTATATATAGTGAGTTTGGGACGAGTGAGAGTTTGTTACAGAAAGTGTGAGTGTATATGTGTTCAAGTAAGTGAGCGCGTGCGACTGCATTTGTCTGTGTGTGAACACATGTGTGCGTTTCCATCTGTGTGGAAGGCTGGAAAGCACATGTAGACGAGAAACTGAGCACCATCAGGATTCTAATCCCACACTTGGAAAGTAGGGGCTTTAGATAGAGGAGCTAGATCATATTGTGGATTTGTTTGAAGGAAAAACAAAAGGATTAATTTGGACTCATATTTTTAAAATCAATTATGAAAGCAATCAGGCTCATTACTAAACATTCAGCAAAAAACATTAAAAAAAAAAAAAATAGGGGCGCCCGGGTGGCTCAGTCAGTTCAGCTCAGGTCATGATCTCGCGGTTTGTGGGTCTGAGCCCCGCCTTGGGCTCTGTGCTGACAGCTCAAAGCCTGGAGCCTGCTTCAGATTCTGGTCTCCCTATCTCTCTCCCCTGCCCCATTCATGCTCTGTCTCTCAATAAATAAATAAATGAATAAATAAATTAATTAATTAATTAAACGTTAAAAAATAAGTAAATAAAATAAATAAATAAGGCTTGAGGGGCGCCTGGGTGGCTCAGTTTTGCATCTGACTTCAGCCCAGGTCATGATCTCACGGTTCATGAATTTGAGCGCTGCGTCTGGCTCTGTGCTGACAGCTGAGAGCCTGGAGCCTGCGTCAGATTCTGTGTCTTATTCTCACTGTCCTACTCCCACTCATGCTCTGTCTTTCTGTCTCTCAAAAATAAATAAATATTTTTTTTAATTTTTTTTTCAACGTTTATTTATTTTTGGGACAGAGAGAGACAGAGCATGAACGGGGGAGGGGCAGAGAGAGAGGGAGACACAGAATCGGAAACAGGCTCCAGGCTCTGAGCCATCAGCCCAGAGCCTGACGCGGGGCTCGAACTCACGGACCGCGAGATCGTGACCTGGCTGAAGTCGGACGCTCAACCGACTGCGCCACCCAGGCGCCCCTAAAAAAATAAATAAATATTAAAAAAATTAAAAAGATAATAAAGCTTGAGGACCAATGTAACCATTCAATGCTCTTGGATTAAGGAAATAATATTTGCTTATATGCTAATTAAAGGATTGTAAAACTATCTCTTTAAATTATCTGATCCCAGGGGCGCCTGGGTGGTTCAGTTGGTTAAGCATCCAGCTTCATCTCAGGTCATGATCTCACGGTTCATGAGTTCGAGCCCTGCCTCGGGCTCTGTGCTGACACCTTGGAGCCTGGAGCCTGCTTCGGATTCTGTGTGTGTGTCTCTCTCTGCCCCTCCCCCAGTAGTGCTCTATCTCTCTCTGTCTTTCAAAAATAAATAAATGTTAAACAAATTTTAATTATCTAATCCTGTCTGAAAAAAAGCACGCTTTCGTTGGTGAAAGGCTCATGAACTTGTGTGTTTCTATGGTTGTTGTTTTTTTTTTTTTTAATTTTTTTTTCAACGCTTATTTATTTTTGGGACAGAGAGAGACAGAGCATGAACGGGGGAGGAGCAGAGAGAGAGGGAGACACAGAATCGGAAACAGGCTCCGAGCCATCAGCGCAGAGGCTGACGCGGGGCTCGAACTCACGGACCGCGAGATCGTGACCTGGCTGAAGTCGGACGCTTAACCGACTGCGCCACCCAGGCGCCCCTATTATTATTATTATTATTATTATTATTATTATTATTAAAATAAGTAGGCTTCACACCCATCATGGAGCTCAATGCAGGGCTTGAACTCAGGAACCTGAGATCAAGGGTGGGACGCTTAACCAACTGAGCCTCCCAGGTGCTCCTCTACAGTTATTACTCTGTTTAGATTTCCTATATTACATGGGTGGGAGAAATGGTGAATATTGGTACACTATATCTTGCAATATATCTGGCCCGAAGACTAGAAATAATTTATTTGGGGAAGAAAAACTTTTCAAGGGAACGGAGAATTCAGTGAGACACTGTGGGAGGCCGGACCCCGGTGCCAGGCTAAGACCGGGTTGAGCAACGGCTCCCTGTTGCCTCAGCCAACCCGGTGGTTCCCCCGCCCACTCCCCCATTTTCAAGGGCATACGAAAGCCTTGCCAAGGCTGAGAAATCTAATTCCTGAAGCCTGTGGTCTGTGGGTGTTGGCAGTAACGTTACCCCTTTCTACGCCGGGTCAAATAGGAACAAACATGGGAACTGTGCTTCGCTAGCAATCCATCAACAGGGTCTTGCGGTGACCCGTTTGGAAAGTTCACAGTGTACACGGAACTAAATGTTTTGGTTGGCAGCGATCATGCGAAACCTGTTTATTCTTAGAATGGCCTGACCCATAAGAGTCTTGATATAAAAGACTGTGTACCGCAACAATAAAGTCGTCACTTGGGCCATCAGCCCAGGGGACCCTCCTGTTCCCAAACTGGCTTCTCTTTTCTTTCTTACATTCCCCTACCCTTAGGACCCTGATCTCGGTGTTTGTCGCGCCGGTCGCGACAAGACACACGTGTTTCATGGCTAGTCCCACACGTGTCAGACTTCAGTATTTCCTCCTTCCTCCCTATGAGACCCTGTCTGCCTCCAGGGATCAAGGAGAAGAAAGAGCCCTCCAAATACTTGCAAAGGTCTCTTTGGAGATGGTAACTAGAAACCTGCTGTTGTTTTCAGCAATTAATAATTGGGGGAAAAAGTTTGTCACCCCCAAACGTGTACTCTCACTGTGGATACAGGTGAAGACAAAATTGCAGTTCCATAGGGAAGCGACATCACAGAACCGCAAGTCCGTGTCTAGTGGTCTGGCAGCTTAACCTCTCTCTCACATGATACTAGCTGTGGTGACCATCGTGTTAACCCCCCTGTCCTGGCAGCCAGAGAGACTCCAGTGAATATTTCTATTTCAGTCTAAGGGGGCAGAGTCTGCAAGCAAAGAGGGGTATCAGGAGTCTAGGTAAGTGATCATATTGGGGAAACAAAATGGCGCTTCTGGGTTTCAGCCTGGTCCAGTGCCAAAGCCACACAGGAAGGAGGAATAATTCTGATGCTTGAGTTGAATTGGTAAAGAGAGACAGGGTCCTAGACTTTCACCAATCCCTGATGGTTCCTGATGTGATTTAGTATAACCCTGACAGTGACAGTTGGTGTTTAATCCAAGTGATAATGAAATGTGACTTTTAATGTGAATCATGGCTGTAGTTCTAAAATAGATCTGCAGTCAGGCTACCTTACTAGTGTGGGTCAGGATTACTACAGGTGCCTATAACACCCCCATGGTTAATAAACACTAGAAAAAAATCTACAGAATTATCAAATCCTTTGCAGAAGCAGGGCATATGAATGACAATGGCTGGAGGAGAAATGTTTCTCTAACTCAGGGTGTGTGACGTGATTAGTAGAGACATTAATTTTTTCCTATTGAAAATATCCATGATCTGTTGATGTTAGTAAGACCATTTTTCCATCTTTGAATTAGGGGAGGAGCACTTAAAGAAATGACAATATTACAAAATGGATTTCAGATGACCATTAGACACAAAACTATCTTGTGAGCAATTCTCCATTTTAAAATTTTATCATATCGGGGCACCTGGGTGGCTCAGTCGGTTAAGTGTCTGACGTCAGCTCGGGTCATAATCTCACGGTCTGTGAGTTCGAGCCCCGTGTTGAGTTCTGTGCTGACAGCTCAGAGCCTGAAGTCTGCTTCGGATTCTGTGTCTCCCTCTCTCTCTCTGCCCCTCCCCTGCTCATGCTCTGTCTCTCTCTGTCTCAAAAATAAAATAAAAACATTAAAAAATTTTTTCTAAATATTATCATATCAATCACAAGCTCTGAAATTTCAATTTATAAAATGTACAAGTTTTCACATCTTAGAGATTTCATTTTATATATGTGTCACAGGTAAACATGTTTAACAAAGCTTGCCTTATTTCCAATGTGTTTTCTTTTTTTAAATTAATTTATTTGAGAGAGAGAGAGTGTATAAGTAGAGGAGGGGCAGAGGAAGGGAGGCAGAGAGAGAATCTCAAGCAGGATCCACATTGTCAGCACAGAGCCTGATGTGGGGCTCAGTCTCACAACCCTGGGATCATGACCTGAGCCAAAATCAAGAGTCGGATGCTTAACCAACTGAGCCACCCATATGCCCCGTCAATGTGTTTTCTTAAGCTATGTTACTAAACACATTGGTTTGGAACTTGAAATTAGTGATACTGAGTTTCTACTCTATAGTACTTTATCACACATTGGTGTTTCAAGTTCCATAGCTCAGAGCATAATAGAGCATTAAGTGATTTTTGTGATAGGTGTCATTTCATTGCTGATATAAAAGCAAATTAGTGTTTCTGTGGCCAATCCACACAGCCAGTAGTGCATTCTTTCAATATAACTTGTCATGGAGCAGGTCTGTATACAATTGTACTACAATCAGTGCACCTAGATTTTATGAAGATATTTATAACCTTATTCATAATAGGTCTTAGCCTATATAATAAAAATTTACACATAAATGGAAACTTGTTACAAAAATATAAAAATGCCAAGTATAAAATTATATTTACAAAAACATCTAAATATACACCTGTATTTTGAAGAATACATCTAACTAGCTTTGTTAGAACAGCATTGTGCTTAAAGGCACTGCCATTATACCAGCCCAGTCAGGTTCAAATGTCCCCATTCCCATAAAGACTTTGAATTTGACAAATCACTAACCTTTCTCCATCTCAGCGCTCCTTGTTTTGTCCATGAAAATGCTCATATTGACACTCTCATGAAGTTGTGAAGAATCCAGGATGTACATACACACCTTTTCTAGT